GAGGTTGCTTAGTGGCAGAAGGCACAATTCCCACGCGAACGGTACGGGGATCAAACCCTACATCGGCTTCCGCAGAGCTAACCAAGCCTTCTGCCCTAAGGGAACGGTAATTTGATGTCAGTCTCACACATCACATTCAGTAACCCTGTGCATTACTGTATGAAGCAGAATGTAAGCCGTATCCTAAAAAGGAAATTTTCAACGGCGAAGGACTATCCTGTTTATTTATTTTATCCGCTTTACAATGTTACCTTTAATGTTCTTCTCTTCTTCTTTTCTTATATGGATAGCACTCTTTCTTAGTAGATTTTTATGATGTCGTTCAGTATATCGTCCAAAGGTTTACCAGCCATCACTAAGTGCATTTTCACAGTATTTTTTGTGGCTCATAACATCCTGTCTTTATTTTTTTTCTCTATGGAAAAGATGTTACGGCACTGCTCACTTTAGCCTACCTCACTGCGAAGTGTAGATTCGGCTCGGAATCTACTCGAAGTTCTTCCACGGGTGTGATTTTGTTCTTGGGAGTATCGAGCGGCAGTCACACCCGCTAGGTGCAAAACACCTGATACGAGCGCCGCTGCAGGCGCCGATGCCAAAGTTGGCCTAGGCCTTCACCGTGTAGCAGCGGCGCTAGTAGCGCGAGCTCCAGGTGCCTACGCTGAGCAGATGTGATTTTCATTTACTGGCGTCAAAGCGATGCCCTTAACCTGGGACAAAATTCCACCTACACCTACTCCCCAGACAAATTTGAGCCTAAATTCCAAAACTGCGGTAGTGAAGGCTAGTGCTTTTAGGGTATTCAACACGAATCGGATACTTCTCGTAGGAACGCAGTCCGCCGCAAAACCGCCAAATATCTTGTGGCTGCTGAACGACTGTATCGCACCCATTTGGCATACGATGGAGCGGCTGCTACGGTGAATTTAGAGTCTCTCGTGGACTCGACAATGTCGGTAAGTTTGCTATAGATACTGTAAGGGAGTTCTCGTTTTATAGCCATGCTAGAATAATGCTACAGGGAGGGCTAGATTGAAAAGAAGTGGTTATTAATCATTTGTGCGCCAGTTAATAGTGCTTCACTACGAGACGAGGGCCTGCCTTAAATTCGTCCTAGTCCTAGTCGCTCGATATTCCGAACAGTGAAAAGAATTCACCATTTCAAGAATTCCGCTACACATAGTACAGTCTCGTCCGCTGCGGACGCTGTGGCGTTTCAGAAGGTTGGGTTTGGCGCGGCGCCAGCCTGTGTTCAGCATTCGTGGAGTGGTGATGGACTACAATTTGCCCATATCTGGCTAGCGCTGCTCCAAACACAGATTTTCCGAAACGCCTCCGCGTTCAGAGTGAATGAGACGGTAGCTCACCTTGACAATTGTCCTAAGCTTCATCAAATAAAGCCTTCAACCCGTTAGTTTGATAGGAATTTGAGCTGACGCCGTTTTCAGGATCCAGATGTGTTGGCCTTCCAATGTGCGAACAACTGCTTGAAAAACTATCGCGTTGTCGGCGTTCTTCCTAGTCTGAACGCTCCTAAATGGGTGCTAACCGTCGAAGAAAAATCATCTGGTTTGTTTGTTGAGAAAACTCTCACGTTTCAGATATCTGGACCTTTTTTGATTTGTTTAGTCATGTTCGCTGCGAATGAAGGGGCGTTAGAGTGCGGCGCTAATTCGTTTTTTTCCTATACTTTTTCTTTCGGCAGGCCATATGATTATACCATATCGTTCGCAAAAGTCGTTTCCCACTAGTTGTTGATAGTTACCCTAGTCAGAAACTTGTGGAGAACCGGTTGGCGCGCGCCAAGCGCTGCCGCTCTGACAAGCCCCATCATCCGCAGCAAACAAGACTATGCTTTCTACAGTGCGAACCTGGAGAGTTCACTTCCTCCATGCTTATCCACTCTTTTTTACGAGGCTAAAAACAGAAACAAGTATGCTTCTATTAACTAGACAAAGGCATGCAATTAACCCCTACAGATTTCTTTTTATTCGGTTCTGCTCTCCTCCTAATTCACGCTTTCGATAGATGTGGCTGCCCTTAGTTACAATTAGATTACAATTAGGTTTTTCACGATTCGGAAAGAATTTATCTCATAGACCGCGCAAGCTAGTCTAGTCAAGGATTGACAGTAGAGCGCTGGGGTCTAAGCATAGACATCGCCTAGGGTGTCTCATAAACGCCTAGTTAAATTTCAGTGGATTCCCGCGTCTCACATGTCTTTTATCTGCCGCATTTTCTAGCAACTGGAAAACTTGTCCTTTTTCATGTGTATTCCCTTCTTCTCACCTTTTTTCCTTGCATTTCCTCAGTTTTATTAAGTCGTCATGGAAGAAATCTCAAGGATGTGCCTCATAACTCGGGAAGAGTGAGAGCATTGGGAGAATGCGGAGAGCAGAAATCGGTCCAGCGATGTGAGAAGAGCGCGCATCTTTTTTAGAACGCTAATCCTACTAAAACTCTAGGTTGATATCCATGCTTTTACTTTCCAAACACCAGAACCCCGGTTTTCCCAACGGTAGCAACCGGCGCCGATCGGTACCTGTGCTTTGGTTTTCGCGCAAACTCTCAAGCAGCTCTTATCTCAAAACGCCGATTTTCCCGAAAAACTCATAGTCACAAAATATGGGCACAGCTTGAACCCGGCCCTAATTAAACATCCTCCATTTGTCGCTATCATTTCGCTATTTTTCAGGTAAGATATTCGTTATGAAACTACTGGAAAAAGGGGTTCGTACATCAAAAAGTCGTGTGCTTCTTCCCACGAATGTACCACATATGGTGCAGCTCCATCAGTTCTTTGAAACGGAAACGTACATCATTCTGGTTCTTGACTATGTCGAAGGTGGCAGGTTATGGGATTTTCTGGTAAGAATTCATTTTCCAGATACATATCTTAGATAGTAGAATTTTTCTAGAAATTCATGAATAGTTTTCAGATCCGTTACTTCAGCGAGTCAGAAAGGCGGTTTCTGTTCAATTTAGCGGAAAGTGGTGTAGATATGGGCTATGATGTTGGTGAGGCGAGAACGGATTCAATGGATTGCTATAGAGGTTGGAAATCTTTGCCATACATAATTGGTGTTGTTGAGTTTTGGCAGTTTTTAGGTCGTTGGCTCCACTTTTCTGTGGGGGTTGATTTTGAGAGAGTGGCTGAGATGCGTGATGAAACACATAGTGTGAGTCCCTTTCTAATAACTCCACTGTGTGGAGTGTTGCAATATGTTGATTTTATTCTGTCTGTCGTTTCAGAATGACGTTCCTTCTGTATCTGGAGTCTGTACTATGGGTGAAGATGCGATGGGAACATCTAGAGCTCCAGACGGTATGAATCCCACGTTCCATTCACACACTTTGTTTTTCTCTTCGACATAGACCTACTACTGCGATTTTATGCTCTACATGTTAGTCCACTAGGCTACGTTTATACTTTGCGGCAGCGTCCAGTAGCGTACGGCAGCGTTTCGAGCGAACACCTGCGCCAGGTCTAGCGTCCACTAGCGTCCACCGGCTTCTCGAGGGACTAGAGAATTATAGGTATCGATATAGTGAACGCCAGCGTCCACTAGCGTTTGCCTGCGTGCAGCAGCGTCCAGGAGTGGAGAGCATGGGGAAGTTTTAGGGTGGCAGACAACTGGGCTGGGCATCGTGAAGTTGCGGCGTGTGCGTCCGCACCATGTAACTGCAAAGCCACAGTATTATGCAATTGTGATGTGCGGTTGCACTTGCTGCAACTTCACGGCGCCTAATCCATCTGCCTGCTACTCTCCTACCCCATACTCTCCACTCCTGGACGCTGCTGTACGCTGGCTAACGCTGGTGGACGCTAGCTCGATACGAGGCCTTAGGAGATGTGTTAGCTAGTACTGTGTTCATGTTCATTCAGAATAAAATCACCGAGAAGGAGGGGGAGGGGATTACTGCCCCCTTTATTTTCACAAAATCACACTCTTCAAGGTTGTATGATCAAAACTTATGCTGTGAAGGTGAAGGATATGAGAAAGCGAAGCCTCGAAAATTCTATAAAAAGCTCGATGAGAAGGAGTTATGCCACAACGGGCTAAAGTGGGACCTTTTATGTTTGGAATTTCTCAAAGTGTTCATCTCGTAACACTATGTACAGCCCTCAATCGCTGTGGATGATAGGGTCTATCACGGCGTCTATCATCATCTAGTTTTTCAGCGTACTATGTGTCTTTAAGCGGATACAGGCAGAAATAGGAAAGTGGCAGAGTTCTGGGTATATATACATTCCCACCAATGGTTGTGGAAGCTGTCAGGTGACCACAAATGGTGGAAAATTCGATAGCGCCGCCTCGAACACAGTCAATGAGATGATGGTTTTTAGTTTGCGTAGAACGGGCATAAATGGAAACGATTAACTTCAGGCGACTTCTGCGTTGTTGAAAATGCTGGAGTTGAGAATCTGTCAATACATGACGAAGAGTCACCTGCTACAGTACAGTTACCCCGTCGGTATGGCGACCATAAATATGACGGTAAGCAAACCTATAGCGCGTCTTTCTGCTGTTTCTGTTGTCATGATGTTGCCCATCTCATGTTTTTCGCCCCTTAATTAGGTTTGGGTTGTAGAAAAAGGTGGTTAATGCTCTTTTTTTTCTAGAAGCTGCGAATCAGACATTGCTAAACTGCATATCTAATGTGCGTTTATACCTTCGGCGAGAGCGGCGACGAACATGGCCAGGAAACCAACCACTTCCAGAGCCATTAATTGTGCATTGGACAGCTCAGATAGTCAGCTGGTTGTATGTGATGCACAATGAACATGGAGAAGTAATATGGTAAGTTTAATTGTCTCCCAGGGTTCATTAGGAACAAAATCGAGATAAGATGCTGAGGAAGTAGCAATGTGCTATGCCCGTAACGCCATGACAGAAAAAGGACAAATCCTACAGAGTTGGTCATCTTCCCTTGTAGTGCAGTCGCTCTGTAGACTCCGTTGAGAATCATGAAGCAGTCGTTGTACGAAATTCTCGCAAAATGCCCATCTTCCTGAACTCCCCAGTTTTCCCAAAGTTGGGATCCTCATCGTTTCTGACAGATTTGCCCTCTAACAAGCAGCCGTGGAAAGGCAGAGAACGTGCTTGACCTGTGCGACAGTCAGAAACAGCGCGTGTGGCTAAAAGGTGCCAAGGTGAATTTATCGCACCTATGAGAGCTTCGTGAATTGACTTTTAAAGAGGCGATGAGTTAAAGTATTTAGGTGGTCAGATAGTATAGATGGTTCCCTGAGCTTCATTGTATTGAGATTTGTTCTTATGTATAGAAATGAGAAGCTCTTCTTTTCTTCCAAAAATTTTTATTGACGACATCGACAGCTGGGGGGGGGCTGCTAGTCACATACACCCTCAATGTATGTGAGCGTACTATGTGTCTTTAAGCGGATATAGGCAGAAATAGGAAAGTGGCAGGGTTCTGGGTATATATACAGATGTAGGACCAAGGATGATCTGGGAATTGTCACGCATTCCTTCGTAGTGCACGTCCTACACTGATATCAGAGTCATTGCCACTCTCATCTATTTAGGAGGTTGCATTTTTAGTGATCTACGTCCTGACAATCTGTTGGTTGACACGGATGGTAATCTCCAGATAACCTACTATGGCAAATGGCATAATAATGGTAGACCGAAGGAGATTGTGCAGGGATACAGTGCTCCAGGTGAAGTGACTCTTCGAGTTCCTGATCAAATGTAATATAGAACTTAGAGGCTGGGAAGGGAGTTTGTGGAAAGTCTCAGCGATAAACTGTTCAGCAAAACTTAATA